ATCAATCACAGGAACAATATTAAAATATTCCAAGCAATAAAAAATTCAATGCTAGATATGACAAATATAATCAGGTGCAAGGCAGGCACGCTTTCGCACTGTCAACGAGTTTTCTATTAGCAAACCTGCAATAGTATATATTCATAAATATGCAATTATTACAAAAATATAACAATAGATCGCGCGCGACACTCGTACGGCATTCCTAATTACATCCATATCTATTTGCCATTTATTTATTCTTTATTCTTTCATTTATTATGTATTAGTGAAAAATAACGCAAAGTTTGGCGGAAATTTGAAAATTGTGCGACCAACTTCGTCACTCATTGCAGCGATAATTACACCTGTTGCGCGTATTTCGTACCCTGAATAATAAACAGTACACGCTCGCTTACGGTTATACCTACTTGTGTTATTATACTATTTCAAATTATAACATGCATGAGTGAGTGTATACATGAAATGTTAAATTAAAGATAAATATCCGTGCCATGGAAATGTAATACGAGCGTCGATTGCTCTGCACGATAAATTTCCAATCAGTGAATCTCGTGAAGCCATGCGCACCAATACGAATACCGAATGCTATTATCAAATATCAAAATGTTAAACTCGCACTTATTAATTAAACGCCTCTCGTCACTCGATCGATTCTCGTACATTATTATTATTTGTTTTGTAACAGTTAAAATTTTAAATATTTCATTTTATGACGTAGTAACAGTTCGTATATGACAGTTCGAGCATTTGTTTTATTCACCCGTGGCGCATAAACCGTGTGACTTTACATATACATTACAACATTACAGTGGTTACCTTTCCATGCCATTCTTATGGCAACGCTCGAACAAAGAGATAACTGAACGAGCCACGCGTGTTTAGCGTGCTGCCGTAATTAATTATAATACATCAAATAAAATACTTGATATGTCTTTTAAGATTTTAAGAATGCTTGCAATTTCATAAAACCGCGATTTACTATTAAAATCGCGTGAGATTTTTTCAAAATTGCTCTGAGATCCAGGCAAAATGTTTTTCTGAATCTCCGAGACTCAGGTAATAGTTATTTGTGTAACAAGTGCTGTAAGATGGAAATTGGACGTGCGGAGTGGATGCAGCCGGAGGCGAGTGCAATCACCCGCAAGTCCAATTTTCAACTTAACACACGTGTTACACACCCTATTTTATGTTGCAAGTGCGTGGAAAGTGGTCTATCACGCACGCGTCGCGTGCGTAATGGGCCATACTTTCCATTTTCCATGCACGTGTGACATAAAAATTTTTATCTAGATCTGTAGGGATCCACAACTTTTCTTTCTTTATATTAAGAATTCTTTTATCCCTATATGCATTTTCTATCTACAATACAAATTGTGCGCTTACATTAATTGTACTTTTCGTTTAATTTTTTACATTGTTACTATATTGTTTGTGTGAATCTTATAATCTTATAATAATGAGAATAAAATTAATTTAATTTAAGCTGAAATTAATTTGAATTAATAATAAAAATAAAAAAAAAGTAATTTAAACCGAAGCGTCGTTGGCGCGCCGCTCGGTCTGTCACTTTTCACGTCTATGGTCGGAACGCACGCTGCTCCGAGCCTCCGAGCCTGCAAGATGGCGACGAGTGTTTTCAGAGTTGTATATAGGTGCGGTTCCTTCGTCTGAGCGATCTCGTAGTTGTCGCACCAGTGTGCGACACTCCGTTTCTCGCGTGGTAGGTAGTAGGCCGTGCCCGCGAGAAACAGCCTCGACGGAAACTGGGAGGTGCCCGCGACCAACGAGTCCGTCGAACTCGGGGGAAACACGAACCTCCTGCATCGATCCCCTCGTCGCACCTTCGAAAACGCGTGTCAGCTGTCAGATGTTTGTATACGCGCGGTCGTGTGTGGCGCGTCGCGAATTCACGGACCGCACGCAATAGCGGCGTCGATTTCATGAGGCACGACCGGCTCTTCGTTCGACAAAGAGAGATAGTCCGGCAGAAACATGGAGAGCCTGGAGGCATTGGGATGGTGAGTGAGAGATGTACTCCTCCAGTTTCTCGCTGACGTTCCACGGGAAAAGGAATTTATTCTCTTCCTCTTGCACGTGGTCCACGATCGCTCCGAGTCCATTCAATATTTACAAAACCCCTTCATCTACATTAATCGCCCTCTTTTCGCCAGGTATCTATCTGATCATGGTTATGATGTGGCCACTGATTCAGGTAGCGTGGTGGACACGCAGAAGATAGTAAAACGACTGTTGGATGTACGTATCAGTGTGGTTCTTTATGAGTCAATGCGATTGACTGGGTGTTGAGAATTTATTTGAGAAACGCGAGTGAACGAGGAAAAAATTATATTATTTACAGCTCGACTTGAGAGAGATTGGCAGCGGGAATGGAGATATTAGTCAGGGCAATATTGTGTTGCAAATACAAAAGATACGTAATGTAGCTACGCCCAAAGGAAACGAAGAATCGAGATCAGTTCCGCGGATGTTGAAATTATCGTTGACAGATGGGAAGAATAATTTTCAAGCCTTAGAAGTTGAACATATATCGGCTTTAAGGTAAATGTATTAGATTTTGTTACTGCCTTGTTTTGCTTTTTACAACTGTCTCTTCTAATCATCTGTTTTACATGTAGTTTAAACACGCCACCTGGTACAAAGATACTGATAAAATCAGGAACTCTACCTGTGTCACATGGACTTTTTTTATTGACACCGGTGCATTTAATTTACATACTTGGGGGAAAAGTTGCCAGTTTAGTGGAAAAATGGGAATTAAATAAGGTAAAATACATTTCACTTGATTAGTTAATTGTATTTAATGGATATGGCATGTGGGTACAGAACTGCTTTCGTTATAGAAATTAGCTTCACATACTCGAGTAAGATCTGCCGAGGAAGGTGGGCCACCACCGTGGATACCATTTGGTAAAAAAATCGTAAAAGTATCCGAGCAAGATAAGAACTTCAAAGCTCTGGCAGAAAAAGAAAAACCTAGCAAGGAGAATACGGAGTTTGAAGCTCAGCGCAAGGATGCGATAGCGGAAGCTGCCAAGCAAGGCAGTAAGAAAGTATTTGGCGGCGGGACTAAACAGGTTGACTTGCTTTTACATGTTTCATTAAATTAAAAGTTTGCGTTGATGTCTGAAAATCTAATTTATGTGCGTTTTTCACAGCTATTGGATCATAGCGTACAGAAAATCGTGGATCGTGGATTTACCATAGAGCAGGCAGAATACGCTTTGAGAGTTAATAGAAATAACGTGGATAAAGCACTGAGAAGCTTGCAAAAGACCGACAGATATAAGTAAGAGAATTTATTTTTATTTTTTTCTATTTTTTTTCTTCATACACTTATCGTTAGTTATTATTGAATTATAATCTTATTGCAGTAACGCCAAGGAATCTCGCGAACCACGAGAGCCGCGTGGCAAACGGGAAAAGAAAACCGAGGACAGTAAACCAAGCAGCGGAAAAATATCCCTATTCGACTTTCTCGAGGATAAATTACCTGTACAACCTGAGAGCGTCGAAACAACTAATTTGTCTCAAAACAGCTATATACAAAATAACGAAAGTAATCAAGATCGTTTTGAATCAAGAGGTTTTGATGCACAAAGTGGAAGAGGTGGACGGTACGTATCTTACTAAATTAATATATTATCTATATATTACTAATAAATTTGATATATAATATATACCAAATCATAACTATCTTACCAAGCAAAATCGTAAAATATTTAATGAAGTTATTGTAATGACTCTTAATTGATCTCTCTTAATAGGAATCAAAAAGGTGGTCGTGGTGGTTATCAACCACCTCCGAGATATTCAGAGGACCACAGAAATAATAAGCGAACAAATAACAGTAACTCCGCCATGTATTCGCAATATAACGGTGCTACTCATGCACCGCAGAACAAACCGCCGCGATTTCAACGTAACCAGGAACCTCAATATCAGTATCAACACGACGGAGGCAGAGAAACGTATCAGAAGTCTTCTCAGCCGATTGATTACAGAAATACGTTTGCTCAGTCGCGTACAAGTAACGTAAACGCCAGTGATAGCGGTAACGATACCAGAATCCAGACTGAGGGAAAGAATCTCGGTAGTAACAGAAACTATAATCACCTCGAGCCGGAGGCCAGAAATAGGCATTCTTATGATGCTTCTTATAATAGGCATAATCGAGCTCAGCAAAACGGAACCTCTAAAGTATATTCATCTAATACAACTGAACAGAATTTTAAGAGTCAACCTAGATATCAGCCGAATAGTAACGTTGGAAATAGGATGGCCATGAATCCCAACATGCAAAGAAATGAGAGTAATTACGGTAGCCACAACATCAACAGTACATGGGTATGGCAAGTAGGTGACAAGTGTATGGCCAAGTATTGGGAAGATAATAGGGTACGTATCATCTTTTTGTACGAAAATGTTTGAATTTAAGATATATATGAGTTCCCCGAGTTGGATTCATCTTACTCTATTAATTTTTCAATCAACATTGTCTAAAATCGAAATATACATGGGATAACAGTCGGGATCGAACCGGAGATCCGCTGATTGACAAATTGATTGTTTTTACACAGAGCCATTCCCATCTTTTTCGTATGTTTTGCGCGTTGTTTAATTATTTGTGTACAAAATTTACAGTATTACAATGCCGAAGTCACTGGCGTTTCTGAGAGGACTTGTGTAGTGCAATTTAAGGGATTTGAAAACTACGAGGAAGTGCTCCAGGTGGATTGTATACCGATAACGGACGACGTATGTAAAATAGCACAATGTAAAATTATAATGTTTTTATTGCTGATAATAATTCTTATTAATTTACCGTGACAGTATCAGATTCAGGATTATGTTTCGGATACGAGACGGCAAGATCAGCGTTCTAACAATCGACAGCCACGTTACGATCAGAGTTACAATCACATAAATGGTGTGTGACAAATCGTTCGTCTCCAAATGTTAAATATTGTATTACCTTTTATTTTTTACATTGTGAAACATTTTAGTGTCAATATAATTTAAAATGATGATTGCAGCAGGTATGGAATTTCGACGAGGAGGAAGCGGTGCCGTTGGCGGGAATAAGGGATACAATAAAAAACGAGGTCAGCAACGGAGTACGCAACCAATTTATCAACCGCCAGCGCAAAGAAGCCACAATTCTCTGCCAATTAATAATCAAAATAATACTCAACATAATCCTTTCCTTTAACTCTAGTCTCGCATCTTTAGTAAAGAAAAAACTAAATTCAGATCTTGCTAGGTATTGAGGCAGTTGAATTCGCTACTGAGGATTGATCTAACAGGTTGCTACACTAATGGAGAGTTTAGATACCGTTTATATTAACCGTTGATAGGCAGCGAGTTGTGTGCCACATTTGATTTCTATTAGAGCTGAATTGAATACGCGATAACTTAATACGAAACAAGTTGGTTTTTCACGAAGAGGAAAAATTAGGAGGCTCTTATTGTAAAATATCGACTGTGTTCCCAAAATATTGTATTATTTGTATTGTAGAAAAATTAATTCTTACTACTGTAAAACTGGGCAATGTCTGTACCTCGTCCACTTTAGCTGTAATACAGTTCTAATGAAATCTCGCTCGTTTCGCCCTTCAATACCCTTATCGTTAAAGGTAGATGACAAAATACTAATATAAGTTAGATTAGAAAAAAAGTACAAGAGTTTTAATATGGAGTACAAGATAATCTGAATTAAAAAAAATTAGTTTAAATCTTATTTATATTTATTTTAACAGTGATATATATTTTTAAAAGCGAAATTTCGACTGAACTTCTATTAATTTGATAAAATAAAATTATTTGTTAAAAAAACAAGTAAATTAAGGACGAACGGTTACAAATTTTACTGTAGGCAATTCTGCTGGTTATATTAATCGCTGATTAAGTTAATTAAAGTTTGATCATTTTTAATTGATCACGTGCACTGTGATATTCTCATTTTAAGTGAGAGGATTTTCTATGCCGTGAAGTACGGAAGTAGATGATTCCGACGATCACAACTGAGAGCTTCTTTTATATATATGTGATGTCTCGTGTCAGACTGACATAGGACTAATGATTGCCGGAATACATCAAGTGAAATAAAGAGCAAAGAATAATAACAAACAGTGATCAAGACCTTGTGTTTATAATCTAAGGCTGCGTTCCAGAACCACTCTTAGCGCAAAGAGCGTGCTCTGTCCTTGCTCAACTTTCTGTAAGTAACAAAGATAGAACGACGCTCGAGCGTTAAGAGCGTGGTTTGGAACGCAGCCTAAGTGTTTTAAATTTTGCTGACTCCTGGAGAACGTCAAAATGGGAATTATCCAACAACTCCGTGTCCTTGCTATAGAATTTATACTATTATTAATTTGCGCAAATTTGAGCAAATGCTCAATTGTGCATTATAAAAATTCATTATATAAATTTCCGATTTTTCTGATAAAATGTGAAATATGATCAAGTATAAGCTAGGTCTGTTAGTTTTAGCTAAACTTCTTGCACAATTCATCTTCTTTATTTTTCTCTTCAACGTGAAAAGGATGAGAGGAAAGATGAACCGTGTAAGAAATTCGGTTAAAACAAGCATGCAGGTTTATAATCTGATAAAAATATACATACTCATCTACTAAATATTTTACTTTAAGATTTACAGGAATTTGAAAGATACTTTTATGTTATTGTTATTATAACGTGTATTAATCCGTGCGCAAATATGGTCAACGTTTATATATTGTCCAGCATCTGCTATGGATGTAAAATCTATAATGCATCAGCTGCAGTTCTTTTTCAAAGAAATTTAATCCTTACATTTTTGGAGGGAAATATCATTAGAACAAATAATTATTTGTTTTAAAATACCTGCCTAGACGTGATTAATATACATATAGACATATTTTTTCTTTGATTCTTTTATTTTTTAACATTTATTGAGACAATCAGTATAATAAACCTACCTATATACTATATCTATAATATTTTTCTCGAAGAAACTTGTTCCTAAATCGTCGTAAATATATAATTCTTTGGAAATATGAGAAGATATATATCTCTTATTTTATAATTAACATCTGTTCATAGGCTATATTAATGCTTGTTTACTGCTTAATGTAAATTACAAATTGATACAAAAATTGATAAAAGCATCGTTTAAAAATGTTTTTAATATATACATATGTTGTGCAATGGCGGCGCACAAGTAAATAAATTCCATTTTTTCCGAATAAATATAAATAAAAAGTAGACTCGAAGTAAGCAATACCCGCAGTATGACGACAGATTGGCAACAGATTTGCTCAGATATTGCAACAGATCTAAGACACCTGATTCTCGAAAAATATCACATATACAATATTTTATAAATGTCATTAGAAAATCACACTTTGCAAGTATGTTATTGGATGCGAATGTGTGATATTCATAACATATGTATCGTATCAATCGTATGCGATATTTTTCGAGAATTAGGCCGCTGGTATTATCTGGTGTCCGCATTAAACTAATGTTTTGTCAACAGAGTTTGTCGATATAATTTGACAGCAAATTTTGTGATTTACGAAAACTCAATAGAAAATTATTCGCTGAAATAAAATACATTATTTAAATAATTGAAATGAAATACATTATTTAAATAAAACATTATTATGAAACTCAATTTCTGCAATCAATCTGCCATTATATACATTATATTAATTTATTTATATTTCTGTTGACATTTTGTCGACAAAATATGCAGCGGATACTTTCAAAATCTGTTTTTGACAGATGTGGCTATCTCAGTTACGGATATAAAATCCTGCGTCTTTCAGTTCGGAAAAAAACCCTTCACGTTTGTGCGGGGAATCGGGACTTAAGAGAAACTATTTAGTTTTAAAATATCTGTATAAATGATTAATAATAATTCTTTGATATCAGTTGAAGATCGGTATAAAATATATATACTTTGCCACGTATATGATAGAACTTTTCAAAATGAATTCCGATCGGAATAATTAATCGGTTTTTTTTCTAGAAAACACAACAGAAATTTAAGATATAATTAAACAATTCCGATTGTCGTAAATTCCGTTACGTCGTAATTAAATTTCAAGATTACGTCTACATGAATTGTACACAGTTGCTGTTCAAGCTTTAGTGCGACTGGTACCGAAAAAATTACAAGAAGTTAATTATTTTTTTAATTTAATATGCATTCCTTCCGAGTCAATACAACGCTGTAAGCGTTGATTAAAAAGCTTTTCGAAACAGTCTTTGCACTCTTTTTCCTTAATCGCCTGTAAAGCCACGGTCAAAGCCTGTTCCATGTCGGGAATATTATTGTATCGCTTTCCTTTTATCGCCGATTTGAGTTTTGGGAACAACCAAAAGTCATATGGATTCAAATCAGGCGAATGCGGGGGATGTTCGAGCGTTGTGATGTGATTTGTGGCCAAGAAATCGCACACAATCTTAGATTTGTGTTCCGGTGCATAATCGTGTAAAAGAAACCAAGACCCTTGCTCTTGGTATTCAGGAATTTCAGAAATCACGCGCCACAAGCGATTCAGAACTTTTAAATAATAAGCAGCGTCTGCCGTTCGATCTTCCGGCATAAATTCTGCGTGGATCATTCTTTTCGAATCAAAGAAAACGGTGAGGAATGTCTTGATTGGGCCCTTCTGCATGCGCACTTTTTTCGATTTTGTTCCTTCTCGGTTCTGCTGCTCTGGGAGTGGCTCATATTGGAAAAACCATGTTTTGCCACAAGTTACGATATTTTTCATAAAATTTGGATCAGTATTAGCTGCTTTTAGGATGTCTTTGCAGTGCTTTTCTCTGGCGTCTTTTTGATCGTCTCTCAGCGTGCTTACAAAGCGGTTCTCAACCTTACATTTGCCTAAATCTTTTAGAATTCTGTAAAAAGATCTTTCAGATATGTCAGTGAGGTTGTTGATGAGTGTTGTGGACACATAGGGGTCCGACCGAATGATTTCAAGCACCTCTTCTACGTTTTCAGAGGTACGAATTCTTCTTTGGCGTCCTCTTCCATCGTCTGAGATATTCTCTCTAAATTTATTACGAAATTGATCATACCAGTATAAAACATTTACATACTGAATATAATCCTTATCATACACCTCTTTTAACATTTTGTGCGCTTCGCTAACTGGTATTTTCAGTTTGGCACAAAATTTAATATTGGCTTTTTGTTGCGTTTTAATATCCATAGTAAATGCCATAGCGAATGTCAATGAGATTCTGTTAATTTATCAAGAGACGGCGCTGTAGAAAAAAATTTTAAAAAATTAGTCACACTGTACAGACTGGACAGACTGCATGTGTATATGATTTTTATTATATGTTTATACGAACCTTTTTCACGTAGGCAAAATAAGCAGTATTGCTTATAGTTCACGCGGTTGCAATATACACAGTATACCTATACATATATATATTTCTTTTTTTTTTATATGTATAAAATCGAAATATTTAAGACCATTGGTAATTTTTCTTCATATCCTAAAAATTGTGTCCAAGGTGATAATAGCACTGAAAATAAAATAGCAAACAAAATATAAATTTCCGATACTTCTGACGTATGAATTTTTCATGATCCCCTCCGTAGATTATTCATTATTTACATAGGTGACATGTTAAATATACAATAAATAAAAAACTCTACGTTCGATAAAAGCAAAGCTAAATGTAAAAATCGAACGGCCAACTTTCGAGCAAGACAAAGGATGCTAGTTTAAACCAACGAAAAACAATTTTATTATAATAATATAAACACAAATAGTTTTAGGTTTTGACTTATACCAAATTCGATTGGATATACTTATTGCGCACTGATGGATACTACGGCCGTTGTATACTGATTTAACCTCTAATCTTCAAAGTAAAATACAAATACCCTGACTGATAAAAGACTCAATACATATTTTACTAAATAGCACAATAAAGAGTATTGAGCATTTCGTTATTTAACCCGTTTATAATGAACATACACTTTATGTTAATTTGTGTATAATGGCTGTAATGTGCATCAGTGCGCAC